CATAAGCAGAAGCGGAACCGTCACTGGGGGAGCTCTTCCTCAGGACATCGAAAAGGAAGGGAACCAGAGCCGAAACCAAAAGCAGAGCCGAAATCCAATCCGAAACCGAAACCATCACCGACACCAAGGCCATAACAGAAACCAAAACCGAAACCCAAACCAGAACCAAAATCATCAGCACACCCCTACCGTGGAAGCGCGCGAGTCCAATTGGATCCCATGTCTTGGCGGTGGAAGGCAAGTGGACCAAGTATCTTAGCTGTCTGGGTCCAGGGTTTCGGAGTTGAGGCCTTGAGGATCCGACGATATCTTACTGATCCGCCAACGTGCCCCCAACCCCTCTACTGCAGTGGAGACCAGTCCACAAGAAATCTTCCATGAGAAACCCAACCCTGAGACCCCAGGACGTCCACTGATTTTTGCTGTGGGAACGTCGCGCTCTCCGTCGAAAAAACACCGAACCCCAAGACACCCAAGGCACCCTGGAAGCAAGCAGGGTGTTTCTTGGCATGGGCCCCCACTGTACTAGCAGACTTCCGCGTGCAGCGCCTCCCCTCCCTCCAAAGGCTCCCTGGGCAGCCCGGCGCTTCCCTGGCACCCTCCAAGGCGGCCAAGATGCTTCAGACATGGGACGCGCAGAGACATACTAGAACTATGTGTCCTCCTCGGAGGAGCGCGTCCGACCCGAACATATGGTATACCCATCTTGCAGTATATCTTTCCCCGAGCGGCGTGGCCAGAAAGCGCCCGCCACGACGAATATACTATTACTATAAGCTTTCTTGGTGCGCGCGTCGCCCCCCGGGGGGGGGGGGGGGCGACGCACACATAGTATTATTATGTTGGGGTGACGCCGAAGACGGCTTCCAAGACAGACCTGTCAGGCCACCAAGGCCGCCGAGAGAACCCGAACTACCTCCATGACGGCCCGAAGACGGCCCGAAGACGGCAAAAGATGATCTCAAGACTGTCAAAGAGGCCCTCAAGATGACCCGACAGAGCTCCATAAAAACCTCCAGCAAGGCCTGGAGAGACCAGAATTAGTGATTAGGTCTTGAAGAATTTTCGCAGTCCCGCCTTTTCGAAATTCCGTCGGCTCAAGACGGCCCATGAGACCTCCCAGATGGCCACACGACCGCCCAACAGGGCCCCGAGACGGCCTAACAGAGCCCCAAGACGGCCCGAGAGGCCCCCGAGGGACCCCAAGACTGCCCCACGGGAACCCAGGACAGCCACAAGACAGCACACTTAAGGTCCGTGAGGGCTCCTCGAGAAGTGCAGACGACAGGTATCACAAGTCACTGCTCCCCACTTATTATTCCCTACCTAGGCTCTGCCTAGAAGGGTTCTTACTCTCTGGGCTTAAAGGGGCGGGCAGTGGAAAGCGCCCCGGGCGGTTCCCCCAGTATCCGCCCCGCGGTTCCCCCAGTTACGTCCCCTTAGCTTAGCGTTGCTTATATCATCTTAGTTTAGCCTAGCTTAACTTCGCTTAGCTTAGCTTAGCTTAGCTTAGTTTAGCCTAGCCTAGCTTAGCTTAGCTTAGCTTAGCCTAGCCTAGCCTAGCTTAGCTTAGCTTAGCTTGACTTAGCTTAGCTCAGTTTAGCTTAGCTTAGCGCAGCGCAGCATTAGCATACCATAACATAGCATAGCATAGCATAACATTGAATAGCATAGCGCAGCATAGCAGAGCGCAGCATAGCATAGCATGGAATAGCATAGCATAGCATTAGCATAACAGAACATAGCATTAGCATAGAATAGCATAGCATAGCATAGCATAGCATATGCATAGCGCAGCATAGCATAGCATAGCGTAGCTTAGCTTAGCATAGCACAGCGCAGCATAGCATAGCATAACATAGCATAGCATAGCGAAGCATAGCGTAGCATTAGCATAACGCAGCATAACATAGCATAGCATAGCGCAGCATAGCATATCATAGCATAGCCTAGCATAGCATAGCATAGCGCAGCATAGCATAGCATAGCATAGCATAGCATAGCGCAGCATAGCATAGCATATCATAGCCTAGCATAACATAGCGCAGCCTAGCATAGCCTAGCATAGCATAGCATTAGCGCAGCATAGCGCAGCATAGCGCAGCATAGCATACCATAGCATAGCATAGCGCAGCATAGCATAGCGCAGCATAGCATAGCATAGCATCAAAGCAAAGGCCAAGCAACAGCAGCAACAGCAAAGCAAAGCACAAGCAACGAAAAGCAAAGCAAAGCAAAAGCAAAAGCAAAGCAAAGGAAAGGCAAAGCAACAGCAATGTGCGACAGGTGCCGAGCTAGCCTCGATGGCGGGACCGGAGCCCCCGCAAGCAGTGCTGAACAGCCTGCAGCTCTTGCAGGAGCCGCGAGCCGCAGCCTGCAGCTCTTGCAGGAGCCGCGAGCGGTGTAGATATGGATGTAGGTGTAGATGTTGATGTAGATGTATATGTAGGTGTAGATGTAGGTGTATATGTAGATGTAGATGTGAGTGTAGTTGTAGATGTGAGTGTAGTTGTAGATGCATGTGTACATGTAGATTTAGCTGTAGGTGTAGATGTGGATGTAGGTCTAGATGTAGATGTAGATATTAAGCTGTACTATTATTACTACTACTACTACTACTACTACTACTACTACTACTACTACTACTACTACTACTACAGCTACTGCTACAACTGCGACGATGAGGAGAAGGAGGAGGACGGCGTTTACCGTTACTACTAATACTGCTCTCCTCGGGGCTCCAACTCCTAGGTAGGGTCGCTCTGGGATAATAATTATTCTTCCTCCTCCTCCTCCTCCTCCTCGTCATCTTTCTTCTCCCCCTCCTCCTCCTGATCCTCCTCATTATCATCACCCCCATCATCATCATCATCATCATCATCATCATCATCATCATCATCATCATCACCATCATCAGCAGCAGCATCATCAGCATCATCATCATCATCATCATCATCATCATCATCATCATCATCATCATCATCATCATCATCATCATCATCATCTTCATCCTCCTCCTCATCAACATCAACATCAGCATCAGCATCAGTATCATCAGAATCATCATCTTCATCATTATCATAATCAACATCATCATCAGCAGCGGCAGCATAGGCATAGTCATCAGCACCAGCATTATCATAATCAGATTCTGCATGATCATCATCATCATCATCAGCAGCAGCAGCAGCAGCATCATCCTCATCATCGTCAGTAGCAGCAGCAGCAGAAGCATCATCATCGAAATCACCATCACAGCATCGTCGTCATCATCATCATAATCATCATCCTCAACAATGACAACAACATCATCCTCACCATTATCATCATCATCATCATCATCATCATCATCATCATCAGCATCAGCAGCAGCATCAGCATCATCAGGATCATCATCATCATCGTCGTCATCATGATCATCAGCATCATCATCAGCAGCAGCATCATCAGCAGCAGCATCGTCAGCGTCACCACCATCATAATCATCATCATCATCATCATCATCATCATCATCATCATCATCATAATCATCACCATCACCATCATCATCATCATCAGCAGCAGCATAGGCATCGTCCTCAGCCGCAGCATTATCCTAATCATCCTCTTCATTATCATCATCATCACCCGCATCGTCTTCGTACCCATCTACATCACAATAACCATCACCATCACCACCATCCTCATCACCATCATCATCAGCAGCATCAGCATCAGCGTCATCATCATCATCATCATCATTATCATCTTGGTCATTATCATCAGTAGCATCATCATAAACCATACTTCAACGTTCGCAACTGATCATCAGCATCATCATCAACAACATCAGCCTCATCATAATCAACAGCATCATCACCACCATCATCATCCTCATTATCCTCAAAGCCGTCATCAGCATCATCATCACCATCATCATCATCATCATCATCATCATTATCATCAACAACGACAACAACATGATCATCACCATTGTCATCATCATCAGCATCATCATCAGCATCAGCATTACCACCATCACCATCATCATCATCATCATCATCATCATCATCATCATCATCATCATCATCATCATCATCATCATCATCATCATCATCATCATCATCGATTCGAGTAACTGCCACCGAAAATGCTGGGCTGGCACGGTTGCGGGACCTGTCGCAGGAAGCTGGATAGTGCACTGAGAGCTTCAAAGAAGCTGCAGTGCTTCCCTGATAGCATTCCTGACCAAGGCGTCGTGGACACAGAAACACCCTTCTGGACACAACAAAGCCCATCTGGGACACAGAAACAACCTGCATGATACAAAATTTCTCCCTTGACCACAAAAAAACTTGTTCATTGTGACAGGGTGACCGGGTGACTGCGCAAAAGGAGAGACCTGATGACGAGGTGACCACATGGTCGGATGTTCCAAGGTGACTGGATGACTGAGTAACTGGGTGACCCGATGACCCGATGACAGGGTGCCCAAGAGAGACCAGGTGAACCGTTCACCGAGTGACCAGGTGACCAAGTGACCACAGACCGGGTGACCGAATGACCCAGCGTCAATGTGACTGGGTGACCAGGTGACCAGGTGACCGAGGAGGAGGAGGAGGAGGAGGAGGAGGAGGAGGAGGAGGAGGAGGCGCGGGCGAAGGAGGAGGAGAAGGAGGAGGAGGGGGAGGAGGAGAGGAGGAGGAGGAGGAGGAGGAGGAGGACAACGAGGACTCAACACAGATGAAGCAGGAAGGGGGGAATGGACGACGAGGCGGCTGCATTCTCGGCGTCGTTGCAGCCATGATCATGAGAGAGCTGCTGCGATCCTTTTGGTCTGCTGAACTCCGCCAGGCAGCACGAACACTGCGGCACCCGAGTGTGCCCTTCCTTGAGCTTTCTTGTTGGCCCAGACGCACGGGGGAGAAATTCCAGGAGAAGAGGGAGGCGGAAAGGAAGAACGAGTGGGACGAACGGGAGAAGTCGAGAAATGGGGCCTAGAGCCCCTCCTCACCCTTCCATCACTGGCCGTCGAGTTGGCAGGTGCCCTCGAGCTTGACACTGACCCCGCCGTCTGCGATATCCATGCGGTCGATGTACGCGGCCAGGACCGCTGCCTGTAGTATGCTGTGGTATATTTCTGTGCTGGGTTTACTGGACGGTTTATCTGTACGTTAATGTGTTTTCATACATCCTGAATGTGAGGTTCTTGTTATCAGTGTGATGCCTCCGCCTCATTCCGTCCCGCATCCTCTCTCCTCTCTCACTCTCTCTCTCTCTCTCTCTCTCTCTCTCTCTCTCACACACTCACACTCAGACTCATTCACACCCATACACTCAGACTCACTCATGCTAAGACTTCCTCGTACTCAGACCACTCATTCTCGGACTCTCTAAAACCAAGGCCCACGACCCACTAATAGTCTGATTCACTCGTACCCAGTCATTCAAGCGGTGTTCACTCGTACTCACACCTGTCATACACAGAATCACTGATACTCAGTTCACTCATACGCAGGCATACTCATATTCAGATTCACTCTTACTCAGATTCACCCATACCTAGAATCATTCGTACGCCGATCCACTCTGACTCTGACTTTCTCATACCCCGACACGGCCACACTTATACTTACGTACCCTCAGACTTAATTTCACCCAGATTCACTAACCCAGGCTCATTCACACTCAGGCTTGCTCGCATTCAAACTCATTCATGCCTAGACTCACTCACATTCGGGTTTTGACATTATCGCCGAGATGCAGCCAACATACCACCTGGGCACACCAGAGGAGGAGCCGCCAGGGGGTCATTGCATGGGCTCGTTCGCGTCCAGATTGCGGGGATGTCTCCAGCGAAACACGGGGTCGCGGCTGTGGACGCGGCCCTCTTTCATAAGCCTAGTATCACCGCAATGAAGCAAGCATGGCACTTGGGACCACACAAGGGGGATTGTACGGACCTGTTCGCGCCCAGACCGTGGGGACGTCTCCAGCGCAATGCCTCTTCGCGGTTGCGGGCACGTCTCTGCTCAGAGCCCTATGCATTGATTGCCGCGACGTAGCAGGCATGGAGTCTGGCCCACCCAATGGGGAGCCACCAGGAGGTCCTGTACGGGCTCGTTCGCATCCAAATTGCGGGGATGCCTCCAGCGAAACGCCGGGTCGCGGCAGTGGACGCGTCCCTTTTCAGGGCCTCGCTATCACCGCGCTGCACGGGGCGCTGCATCTGGACCACTCAAGGGGGAGCCGCCCGGGGGTCCTGCACGGGCCCGTTCGCATCTCGAGCTAAAACGCCTGTGCGCGGCTGCGACGCGTCTCTTCTCACAGTCCTGTGATCATCGTGATCATCGCAGTGTAGCAGGCATAGCATTTGGACCACATCAGGGGGAGTCGCCAGGTGGTACTGTGCGGACCTGTTCGCGACCAAATTGCGGGGCTGTCTCCAGCGAGCACTCGTTGCTGGAGGTTGACGTGTCTCTTTGCAGGACCCGATGAGAAGCGCGATATGGCGGAGGTAGGCGTGTCGTGTTCCTGAGCTCCATGATCACCGCGGTGTAGCACACCCAGATAGGAGCCGCCACGGGGTATTGCACGGGCCCGTTCACGCCCAAATTGTGGGAACGTCTGGAGCGAAACGCTGATTCGGGAGAGGATATGTGTCGCACTGAAGAGTCCCATGATCACCGCGAAGCATGGCCATCCAAAGCGGAAAGCCGACCAGCGTTGCATCCAGGGCATCTTGGCCCACTCGCACCAAACTCGCGCACAGTCAGCACCACTCGTGCCGAGTCGCCCCGCCTCGCCCATGCCCGGGCACTCCTTCGCAGGGGAGCCCGCCAGAAAAGATTTGCACAATATGGGACCCTCCGCGTCGAAGAATTGAGTTTGGACGGGGACTGCTGCCTGTACGGCCATCTCCTCCGCAGTGGTCCCGAACTGCTGGACGTACTCCTGACCCGCCTTTGAGATTCGCTCTGCCTCGGCGTCGTTCTGCACCGCCCAGTCGACCTTCGTGCTGAGGTCTGAGAAGTCTGGTTTGATTGGGATGTAGTGCTCCCAGGGCTTCAAAGATGCTTCCAATAGCCAACTCTCAATGTCAGGCTCGACCATGAATGGGACGGAATTTGAAAGCAACACCCAGTTTAAGCCAGAAGGTTTGTCGTTCCCGTTCACAAGGAGATGATACTTTGATGTGAGCAAGGATTTCATGGACATCCCATGCTTCTTGTACCGTCTCGCCAAGTGGCAATTTTGGACGACATCGGTCATGCCAACGTCAATTCTGGAGTCCGTAGAGTTGTACCACTTCTTGCAGAGCATCATGCGCGAGTTCTTAGCACCAGTATCGCATTTGCCAGTCGACACCCCTCGCCAGACTAGCGTCGCGTTTTTGGAAGCCCATGGAATGTCAGCGTCGGCAACCTTTTTCATCGGACCCCAATGCCGCCCGTGATTCAAATCCAAGAGAACGTAGTTGTCGTCACGTTTCTTCAGGAGACGAGTTTTGTAGAAGGTGGGATAGCACGCACTCGCATCCCTTCTGTCGCCAAACTTGAAGAGCGCATGCCCCTCTCCAATGGCCTGCGGAGCAGAAGCGAAGGCTTTGCAGATGTCAGCCCTGTAGACCTGGGCAGGGACGCTCGCGGGAAGCTTACATAGATCGCTCAAGCTGGTTGCAAACAGGACGTCGCAGGGAACGCTTCTTGCAAACTTCGGAACCTTCACGGACACCCTGTCCGTAACGTTGGCGAGGCGGCCCAGGTACTCCTCGACTCTTCCACAAGCGTGCGTGTCGACGCCGATCGTCTCGCAGATCGTAGAGACCGGCATCGGTTTCACACCGCTCTTCCGAGCACCGAATAGCTCGCCCATGGCCTGCAAGCTGCTCGAGAGGGCGGCATGCCCAGCGGCGATCTCCTTCTCGACAATCGCCATCCCATCTGTACCCATCCACTGCAGCACCTCGATGTCCTCTGGGTCATGCTCTTCTGATTCGTCTGGGCTGGCATTGACGCTGACTCCGTCTTCGGCTACTTCTCGCGTCGTCAAGGTCATGCCCCGCTCGAGTGACACACAAAGCAAAGCCGCGACGGCCTTCATGACGAGGAAAAACTTGGACAAGGAAATGTAGTAGTATTGCGAGGGCGACTGGCCCACGATTCAGCCAATTGCCTTACGCAGAAAAGACTACGTACCGAAAGCAGGGGGGAAGACAATCCATTCTGAACTACGTGCCCCCCAAGGGCCCAGCTCCCTGCGGAACGAGCAAGCCGCCTGAACGCACGACGAGTAGGAGCTCCTCGTATGCGATAACTCTTGTGAAGAAGCAATGTTCTGCAGGACCTGGCTAGATAAATCCGCCGACCCTGTTGGCGTGTGTGAGGGGCTTATCTGTTCGCTCGTCGTCTTCGTCAGTCGTCGTCTCCCTCGTCCCTGCACCCTCCTCAAGCCTGTCAGCGAGAGAAAAAACTGGCAATGTCGTAATCGAGTCGAAGGGAAGCCCCTGCCCTTTGATCCCTCCCCCGTCGGGGGGAGGGGGTCCTGGGGGGCCTAGGGGGAGTCCATGGGGGGGGTCCCGGGGGGGGGTCCTGGGGGGGGAGTCAGATACGCATATTCCCGTGCCCTGGGGCCTCCACGAGTGCCACAAGAGGCCCCCGAGACGGTCCAAGAGGGGCAAAATTCATGAATTCCCCTTTAGTTGTTCTATGGATTTGAGTGTTCTCGCCTTTTCCGCCCCCTTGTGTCAAAGCAGCCTCCCGAACAGGCGCATTCAAAGCCTGATCCCGATGCCGACCAAACCAGCCCGATCAGACCATAGCGCAGAACAGTACATCGATCGGGCGGCGTCTCATGATCTGTGATCGAGCCCCAGTTGATGGGAACGAGGCATCCTGAGTTCCCTAGACTCGCGGAAACATCACCCCCCAGAAGGGAAGTTCCCCCAAGCAGGGCCTGCACTTCGGGCTCGCAGTCTTTCCTCAATAGTTGGCCTGCGGTTCTGGGCCTACGCCCTGCAGGCGACCGTGCCCGCGTCGTGCCCGCCCCGTGCGTCGCTTGGCAGGGCCGAACATTCGGCTGGTGGGCCTCCCTGCCCGCCTCGTGCCCGGCGCGTGCCCACCTCGCGCGCCGGCTCGCATTACCGACTGCTCAAGTATATAGCTTGCACCACATAGATTTGAAGGGGCCCTGGGACACACAAATAAATACACACAAATAACAAGATTCCCCATATCTTCCAAGATTTTCTGGATTTGTATACTTTCCCAAATTTTCAGGGGAATCGACGATTAATTGTGTCTGTGTGATTCTTTTCCTCCTGAAGATTGCATCGCAGGGCTTACACCACAAAAGTATCAACACGTGTATCGCGCACTAGAACAATGCCAAGCACCAGCTGTTCAACAACTGGTGCTCCGTCAGCAACGACTGTCAAATTTGTATACGAGAGCATCCCAAGGTCACCGGAAAACCGAAAAGGTTGCACTCTTTCCTGTCAAAAGAGACCACGCAGGCCACACGCGCGCGCACGTCGAGACCATTCAACCATCATGACGCACCCGCCAAATATGCCAACTGATACAATGTGGGCCAGTGGGCCACAGGCGCGCGTGCCCGCGCAAGCACTAGCTCCGCAAGTCTTTTTGAAAACAGAAGTTCGAGCACACATGAAAAGACAATGGGTTGACAGGCAACCGTCAAATAGTCTGCACTCGCACTTCCTCATCACCACCGTCGTCGTCATCACCGCCGTCGTCATCACTATAGTCATCGCCATCGTCGTTGTCGTCGCCCTCGTCATCATCGCCACCACCATCACCATCACCATCACCATCACCATAACCATAACTTAACCATCATCATCATCAAGTGCCCCGTCAGCGTCATCATCATCATCATCATCCTCATGATCACCATCATCTCACCATCATCAGCAATAGCAGAATCATCATAATCATCATCATCATCGCAATCATGGTCACCGTAATCACCATCACCATCATTACCATCATCATCAACACCATCACCACCATCATCATCAACACCCCCATCATCATCACCACGTCCACCACGACCATCATCGCTTTTCACCAAAAACCATCACCGTCATCACCATCGCCGTCGTCGTCGCCGAAATCATCGTCACCATCATCACCCGCCCGCCCGAGACAGTGAATCTGCAGGATGAATTGCGTGAGCTGGGCATTGCCGAAAAAGATGTGGGTAGGTGGGCGGAATGTTTGTTTAACTCATCGAACTGACAACTTCAAGGTTTTCAAACTTAATGGCGCCACGTAGGGTCTCCTTGGAAACAAAGAAATGAATGCACCATCCTGCCCCCCCTGGAGTAGTGGGCCCCCATGGAACACTGCAATGTACACATGACTCTGCGCTATTGTTCATTCTCCATGTGAAATCAGACCATTCCACGCAGGCCGGTGATTGCCCCCCGCCCCATCCCTGTCAAAAAAATCTACTCGCGCACTCTCGTTAATCTACAAAGATCATGTTTCAAAAATCCCTTGCAACAAAAGGAGAAGTCCACACACGCGGAAACATATCGAAATCATACCAAACACGCGAGTTCTGCATTCATTTTACCTGAGAAAAAACCTTGGGCGCTGCCTAAAGAAACTTTGCAAATGTTCAGACGCGCACTCTTGCTGAAGCCATTGAACCAAAACCATATGATCTTATAATTATGTCACTGATCCCGCACTCTCACCCCGCAAAGCGATGCATCCGCGGTGATCCAACATGCGTCCACTGCACGAGTCTGTAACAGATAATACCGTTCGGACCACGCGCGTGCGACAAAAAGCTTCCAAGGTAATAGCTTTCGAAGCATTTTAAAATAGAGGTTCTCAAAACATGGATATAGACATATGTACATATGAGGAGGGAAAAGATGGTAGCGGACACCGAACAGGAGTACAAACGCTGGTTCTGAAAAATTGAAACGCCAGGATCTCAGGGCCTAGCTGTCATCAGGCCGGGCATATCCTCCTACAGGCGGCTTCTGGAAGATAAATAAAGAATAGCCAAGAAGCACTCAAAAATGGTCGAACATAGTAGAAAGATCGTCCCCATACTACTTTGGTACCATTTCTGAATATTCCTTCTGTAGAAGGACAGGCCCAACTTAAAGCTATCACCCCTGTCCCCGAGTCCCCCCGGTCCCCCCAGATCCCCCGATCCCCTAGGTCTCGGGAGTGGACAGACCTCCAGCCCTGACACGTCGATGAAGGAATTGGCCGTTCTCGTTTCGCGAGAGGGCGCCGCGGCCGTCACTTTTGCGGGTCCAGGTCCGTCGGTTTCGGTCCCAGGCCGCTTTCACTAAGGGGAGGTTTACTATCGAGGAGGAGGAGGAGGAGGAGGAGAAGGAGGAGGGGGAGGAGGAGGAGGAGGAGAAGGAGGAGGAGGAGGAGAAGGAGGAGAGGGAGGGGGAGGAGGAGGAGGAAGAGGAGGAGGGAGGAGAAGGGAGGAGAAGGAGGAGGAGGAGGAGGAAGGAGGAGGAGGAGGAGGAGGAGGAGGAGGAGGAGGAGGTTTGTCCCCAGATCTTGGGGATCACCAGCCTTGTGACGCCTTCTCTGGGGCGTCGCGCCCTCCGCCCAGCAGGAGGGCGGGCCCGTCCTCGGCACACTGGCTCTCCTCCTCGGGCGGCGCATCGCCGCGGATCCAGCCAATCAGACCTCGGCGCGCCCGGCGCGCAGGGCCGGAGCCCAGGCGGCACGGCGCTGCCGAGGGCAGCGTGGGCGGTCCTCTATCCTTCTCCTGCTCCCCCTGCTCCTCCTCGTCCAATCCATCACCACCATCATCATCATCATCATCATCATCATCATCATCATCATCATCATCATCATCATCATCATCATCATCATCATCATCATCATCATCATCATCATCATCATCATCATCATCGGCAGCGGCAGCGGCAGCGGCAGCGGCAGCAACAGCAGCAGGATCGTCGTCGTCGCCATCAGCATCATCATAATCACAAGCATCGTCATCAACAGCATCCTCATATGTATTATCAACAGCATCATCACAATCATGAGCACCAGCATCATCAGTAGCAGCACCACCATCATCATTAGCATCGTTATCATCTAAGACATCATCATCACCATCAGCATGACCATCATCATAATTATCATCATAAATATTATCAGTATCATCATCATCGATAGCATCCGCATCATCATCTGCAGCATCATAATCATAATCAGCATCATCATCGTCATCATGGTGATCCTCATCAGCAGCACCATCATGAACAGCGTAAGTATATGATCCCTCTCCTCATCATCATAATCATTATCACCATAATCATCAGCAGCATCATCAGCATCATCATCATCATTATCAACAGCATCATCATCATCCTCGTTATTCTCATCCTCATCCTCATCAGTATCATCAGCATCATCATCATCACCATCACCATCACCATCACCATCACAATCATCATCACCAACAGCATAAGCACTATCATCATCAGAAGCATTCTTGCCATCCATCGCATTTTTTACGGAGCTTTCGGCGACCACGAGCCCTGGTTCAGGGCGAGGTGAGCGTGAGGATATCCTAGCTGAGAGCCAAGCGACAACTTCATAGCTCGGCCTGGCCAGCGGCCTGTCGCGCGGTGGCGCGGGCGGGGCAGCGCGGAGCCGTGGGCGGCCGGCGAGCAGTCCGGGCCACACCTTCGCAGGCCGGGTCCGAGGGCTCAGGCTGTGGCGCCGGAAGCCCCCACTGGACCTGCCGCAGCTGCGGCACGGGCGCCAACGCGGCGAGGCGCACGCGGTGCGGGGGCTGCGGCGCCTGGGCCCCCGCACGTGGTGCGGCGGCAAGAAGGAGGGCGCGGCGACGGCCGCAGAAGCCCCACGCCGTGGGGGGTCGCCGGCGCCTGCCGGTCCAAAGCAGCCGACCGCAGCCCAGCTGAGGCAGGAGCTCCCGCAGCCACAAGCGGCGGTGCCAGGGGGCAGCCCTGGCGGCGCAGCAGGGCAGCAGCAGAACCAGCAGGCAGCCGCGGAGCTGGCAGCAGCAAGCGGCAGGCAAAGAACGGGCTGGGGGCCTTGGCTCAGGTCGGGCATGTCCTCCTA